CCTAGCCCGTAATGCGGGTGTAGATATTGGGTACTCAAGGAATTGATATTCAATATCCGCACCTAGGCTCTTGCTCTAAGGGATTAGGTTTGAGTAAACTTATGGGTTGACTAAGCAATGTATGTAACAAGAGATTAAGGATTCATTAGTTTGACGTTTGGTGAAATCTGACCCCACAATCTCACAAAAATCATAATACCATTTCTACCCTTTTCCACTCACAACCAAATATTTTTATAGTTAACATTCCAGTAGTTATACTCTTCAATTAATCTTCACATGACAAACTACAAATTGGAATTATTCTTTAGTCACGAATAGTCAATAAATGCTTATTTTACCTACTAATCCCTGTGGATACGATAATTTTACTACTTGAACGGCCGATATACTTGTCGTGTTTGAGACCGTTGATAAAATTAAACTGATTTACAATTATAACAAAAGTGTTTCAACAGAAATCTCAACAAGTTTTTGGCGCCGTTGCCGGGGATTAGCAAGGCAAATTAGTATTTATAACTATTTGTGACTTGTTCTTTTGTTGTTATTTTTATTTTTATGTTAGCAATGAATTGTTGGAGCTAACCTGTGTACTCTAGTCTTCTGCTTTCTCTTGTATGCAAGGTACTATTGAACTAGATTGACCAATCCCTCTGAGCAGTTGTTGAGCAATCCTGAGATTGAGCACAGGGCAAGGAGGAACAATAGCAACAGGAGGAGAAGGAGAATTAGAGCAATTCAAGTTGGTCACTGTCAGGTTCGGGACAGTAAACAAGCGCTTCCTGGGAGGCAACCTAGAGATCTGAACTTTGTTTATGTGTTTCTCATCTCATTCGTGTTTTAGATTTCAGTGTTAATGTTTGCTATATGTTTAATTAACCATTTTTTTTATTAATATGAAGGGAAAATGTATTTGTATTTCTTGTACTTTCCGAACCTAAACAAGGTTTCTATACATTTATATCATTGAATTTGGTCCTTACTCCTTAAACTTTTATAAGAAAAATGTTAATTGATTTTATACTCTTAAATATTATTTTAAAAATCTTAGTTCTCGTTGTGAATTGGCAATACTTAGCTCCGGTATACCCTGCAAGTACTTCAATGTTTAAGTATATGACTTAGGTGAATGTATGAATGTGTGTGCGTGTGCATGTATGTAAGAAAAAGTATCAAAGTGAAAATTTGATTATTTAATTAAAGAGAAATAGATAAGAAATAAGATATATAAAAATACAAGTGAAAAAAGAGAGAGAAGAAAGAAATTAAAAAGAAAGAATAAAAAATAAAGAAATGAAAACAAAAATATTTGAAATGAATTTTTATTTATTATTTTATTTCTATCAATTAAATAAAAAAAATTAACTAAATAAATAATATTTTGAAATGAAATAAATAACTATCAAAAGTATGTAAATAATTCTCAAGTAATTCTTTAAATTAAAAACTAAATAAAATCATAAATTTAAATTAATTAATTAAATTTAAAGTATATATATATAATAAAAAATCATATAAAATTTTAAACTTTCAACCGAAAAAAATTTGTAATCAATTCCATAAACATTTTTGTAAGAAAAACATAATCGAATAAGACTTTTATTTAACACTTTTTGATGATTTTCAAGCCACTAATATGTGTTTAAAAAAATTAAAGAAATTAATTGTAACGATTTCTTACAACTAAAACTTTAATAAAAAAATTCAATTAATGTTCATCTTATGATGGTTCTAAATTCATCAGTAAATGTGATGACAACAGTTTTTCTGTAATATTCCAAAAATTTTATTATAATTTTAATTGTTTTTTATTTTTTTTTATGAATCTATATAATATATAATTGTTAATAATTTAAATTCATAACTATTTATAATATTATAAAATTATAATATTTTAAATTTCTAGTATAATATTCTAATTATATTGATGAAAGTATTTTATTATTTTAAATTTTTATAATTAAATTGAAATTTTTACTCTTTATAAATAAATTTTTAAGTTGGTACAAATTAAAACATGAAATGATAAATTTACTAAATTACAAAGAAATATCTTAAAAATTTTATTATATAAAGAAAATTGTATTATGAGGTTCCATTATCTATAGTTTAATTACGTTATTAAAATAGAAACTGTTTACGTTACTAAAATAAAGACTTATAATATAGTAATAATTAAAATAATTATAATTTAATAAAACAGAAGATATTAATAATTTGATTGCACATGCATTAGAGGTGTAGGAGTCATAATAATAAGGTGTTATTATTTTATGTTATTTTATTATTTTATGATATTTACAACTGTTGTATAACTAATTTAATATTTTTAAGCACATTTTATTATCATAAATTATGTTATTTTAAATTTTAAATAATTAAAAATATTCTAATCTATTTAGCTTAAGTTTTTTTTATTAATTCTAACTATAATCTAACTTTGTTAATTTTTCTAAGCTCATCTTATTATTATTTCATCATTCATTATAAAGATTAATGTTAATTTATGATTATAAAAATGAAAGTTTGAATTAATTTGTAGTTAGAGGTTTGACCTTGAAAATTTAAATAAGTAAAAAAAAAAACTTAAGTACGTTATTTCAAACCAAGATTATCGACTTTTATATTTTCTTGAAATCAAGAAATTCCTACCGTTATAGATGACCTCATAGCAGTTGCCTTCTATTTGTCCCAATCAATCATGTCAATCCAATAGTAAATTTATTTTAACTTAATATGTAATTATTATAGTAAAAATGTATAAATAAATAGTTTATAAATAAGTACGTTATTGTAAATATTTTATAATAATACCTTATGTATATAAAATCTAACTATATGTAGATTATTTCATTGAATTTTTTTATATCTTTATTATAAATATTATTATTTTTATAGTTACGTTAATAA